CGGTGCTGAAGCGGGCGGTCTATGTGCTGAGCGCCCTCTCGGCTCTAGCCGCGCTCTATTTCCTCCTGCGGGCGTTCCGGTGAGTGCGGCCCGGCCCGGGGAACAGCCCCGGCTTGTCCCGGTCCCCTCCCGGGGTTGTGCCCTGTTCTTTACCTTGGGTCCCCTCGCCCTGCTTCTGCCAGGCAGGAGCTTTGCTTCCCTGAGCATCCCCCTCGCAGCGGGGCGCGCTCACCCTGCGCTCTGTGTTCCCCAGCCCTAGGTCAGAGGGACCCAGAAACGAGCGAAAAACTCATTTCAGGTTGAAGAAACCTCAGCGGAAGAAATACGGGCTCCTGTCAAACTATGACGAGAACATGGAGGTGGCCTCGCTCGACAGCGACGAGGACACGGTGTTTGAGATGAGAAACCTGAGGCGGTAAGAGGCTGTTTTGTGTGTTTCTCTCTTCCTCACAAGGGGCTAAAGCTCTGTTTCTAAAGACGTGGGAGCTTTGGCACAGCTCCTATAACCAGATCTGCATAAATTACACTTCTGTGTGTGGTCTGCGTGTGTTGGCACACAGGCTTCATCTCGCCTTTCTTCATCTTGTGACCAAGCGCACTGAAAGGGACATACCCTGGGTTGTTTGGAGCACTGCTTTGTGTTTAGCTGTCCTCTAGGAGGGACAGAGCCCTTGTGTCCAGGCTGAGCCTCCCCACGTTAGACAGCAAAACAAAACCTCCTTGTTTTTCAGCGTAGGAACTTCTCCCGAGCTAAACCTCCCGGTGCCATCGAGGCATCTGTTCCTGCTTTCCCAGTGATGTGCTTTCATCTGCTGGATGACACAAGTCGGGTTTCTCGGGAGGGTTTTTGAGGCCGAGGAGGAATGTTGCCTGGGTGCACTGGCTGCCCGGCCCCTCAGCTCCCCCAACTGTTGTGAGGTCGGTAGTGATCTGCCACGCGGTCCCTGCTCACACTGATGCTGGGTGTCTTCTTCTTTCCAGATGATTTGGGACCAACGGCGCAGACTGACCAAGGGGGTGCAAGTCCAGCGGAATCACCAGTGCTCGAGTTTTATTTTCTATATTTGCTTAAAATGACTATTAATTAAGAGTCCAAACACTTCCATAGCTGGGGCAGGGGAAAGGGGACCAAACCTGTTTTCTTCACACATATTTTTAGGGAACGGTGGAGCTGCAAGCTAAGTGATGCTGCCTTGGGTGCTGTTAACTGCACAGGGAGATGCTGAGCAGAATGTGACTCCTGGGTGGGTGATGCTCAGCATTTGAAATCTTACCATTCTGGACTCAAGTGCTGCAGCTGTGTATTCTATAGGTGCTCATATCCCTCTCTCCTGACTGTGGCAGTCAGCTTGATGTATCAGGCAAGTGCATTCCTCTACAGGCTGATCCTCTTTCCTTCATGCAGCATTAGGTTATTTCTTTAGGAAGTGTCTCTGTATTCAACTCTGATCTGGTAGGAGCTGGGAGAACTCTTGTTGTCCGTTGCACTAGTGATGGGTGTGGGTAGTGTCCTGTCAGTTCCAAGAATGAGTTAAATGCATCGATCTTCTTGTAGTTGCAGGGTGAGCAGTTACATGGTATAGTAACGGGTCATGACATGAGTTTACAGAGCAAAGACATGTTTACAAATGAAAGGTGCCACTTAGCCCAGAGGAGCAGGTCCCCAAAAGAGGAATCAGTTTGTGGGGCAGTGAGTGTTCAGACTTCTGCCCAGCTCCAGTGGTGTGTTCACCAGAGGAGCGTGTGCCACGGACCAAGCTGCTGGATGTTGAGCTCTCTCTGTCTGTGATCACCTGAGGAAGAGCTGGAGCACTGCAGTTTGAGTTGGGCACCTTCACTGCTGGTGTGATGAGTGACCTGTCTCTGAGCATCTGATGGCTGGAAAAGCAGGACCCAACCCCCTGCAGGTTGTGATTGTTAAACCAAGACAGCCCTGGCTCGGAATTACTCTCTTGAAGGGTACTGGAGTTTCACTCCATTTACTGGTACTCAAGCTGTGTCCCAATGTCAGCACAGCAAACTGGGATGTTTCTGTGCAGCCCATTGTGTTGGTATTTGGGTTCTTAGTGTCCAGGACCAAATGTGAATGTCTTAGAAGGTCACTGATAAGTGGATCTGCTGCTACAATGGAGAAACTGCTTGCTAAGTGCTCCTGTTGACTGCACATTTTAGCCTTGAAGGGAAGGCCTGCCCTTGAAAACTATGGGCAGTGCAGACATCTGTCCTCAGGTCCCACCCCACCCAAAACTGGTAGTGCCTTTGTTAGGAGAACCCAGGGGAGTTACCCTGCAGGCCAGGGAGTTCCCCCATTGACCTTGCCTTTGAGATGTAGATTGAGAATACTTTGGAGTGATGGTTCCTTCCTTTTAGTTAGCAAATCCTCTGTAGATAAGGGGACAAACCTGAAAGAGACATCCTTATCAAACAGCAAGGGTGGTTTGGGCCCCTGCAGGGGCTCTCTGGTGCTCTGAGGCCCTTCCTGTGGTGGCTGAGGGAGTGATGTGTGATCCTGGTGCTCTCCCGTGTGAGGGGCAGTGTTCCTCTGTGCGGTGGGTGAGGTTTCCTGGAGAAGCATCACTCAGGTGCTGTCTCACACACGTGCAAAAGATTTTAAATATATATATATTTTTAGTAATGCTGTCATGTGAACACAGCACCTGGATGTGCCCTAATTTCATATCATTTGTATCCTTTCATGCCTCTTTTAGGTACTTTCTGCTTGTTTAGCTGATGCAGAGATGAAAGCGTTCGCTGCGTTCCTCTGTGAGGATGGAGTAAGGGCTAAATCTGGCCGTTGCTGCCCCTTGGGTGATCAGAGAGCTGATGTGTTTGATTCGTGGTAGCGTGTCTTCCTTGATCCTGCATAGCCCGGCAGGTCTGTGCACGTGCTGATCCCTTTCTCTGGCTCTTAACTCCCTCTGCAGAGCTGAGGGCTCTGTGCTGGAGCCAGGTCAGCCTGGCTCTACTTCAGTCCACTGACGTGCCCCTGCTCAGTGGTTTGGCTGCCATTCACTGGCCTTTCTTTACTTGAGGCAATGAGCTTGATCATTCTTTAGGCTCTGCTCCTCATTAGACAGGTGGGTTTTGCAATTTTGCCATTTCCTTACCTTGCAGCAGTGGGTGATTTCTTTTTAGTGTTAAAAGTTGAATGATTTTGATAAGAGGAGACCTCGAGCCGTAGGTGCTGCCACGAACGTGATTTTGCTAGAATTTGATTTTGCTGTAATAGATAATTTAGAATTTGAGCAGGGACAGGTGTGGAAGGAATCAGCCAGAGCACATAATGAGGTCTGGATTTTGGTGCTGTGTACGCACATGGTAATGGAGTTGGAGGCCTGGAGGATCTGCCAGCCCAGGGGGCACGTGTCTCCAGAGTCTTTAAAGGGTAGAGAGGAAAAAGGTGATGGTGGGGCTATGGTGTAGCATTGCTGTCACTTCTGCTGTGATCCTGTTTTGTCTGGAGACTGGTTTGAGCTGGAATCAATGCCCCTGTGTGGCTATTTTCTTTTTCCACTAAAGCATCCTGAATCTTGGAGGCCTGGTCTGGGTTTGCTCTTTGTAAGCGAGGACCTTGCATT